ACGAAATCGTTTTGGAGGATGAAGTTGGTGGACCACCGAGACTTTTCAGTAATGGGGAGGTACTTTCTCTGTTATTTTTATAGCAAAATGATTGCATGATTTTTTCTCCAAGTAGTTTTCTTCTTCGAATTTTGATTCCTTTTTAAGATTCATTTTGATAACCCACGTTTTTTTTTTCAAGATTCCTTTTTAAGATTTAAGATTTATTTTTTCAATAAACCAAAACCATTTAAATTATATACTTAAGTTATCGGGTTTTGATAACCCGCGATATTCAACTATTGATATTTTTTTTAACAAAAAATATTATTTACATTAAAAGAGTGGAAGAGTCGATTAAGACTCACAATAAGTTAACAATAATATATTTCAAATTCACTTTTGATAAAAATCGAAACTAGACATTTTTCTTAATATGCTAGCAATAATATAATTCAAATTCGTTTTTGACATGAATCGAAACTAGACGTTTCACTTATCAAGGAAGATGAATGTTACAAGAGTGTATCATTAAGTGAAAACTTATGGTATTCAACTAATAAGTTCAAATCTCATGCATCTATTTATGCATGTGACCTCTATGTGACTTTCGTACAAATTTTACATCTGTCCATTCACTCAACCAAACCTAACGGCGTTAAATCTAAATAAAATAAAAAATCAGAGCGCAGCCCAGCGTACCGGTCTCTCTCCCATTCCCCTCCTTCCTTGCCAACGCCACCAATGACCGCCCCTTCCTCACGGACCTCCACCTCCACCTCTACCTCTTCAAGCACAGCGGCAGCATCTCCCTTGATGACGTCATCGAGATCGGCAAGGTTATGAGAAACAGATCCATGGCCGAAGGAGCTCGCGGGAACGGTGAAGGAGATTCTCGGAACCTGCGTCTCCGTGGTCTGCACGGTCAACGGCAAGGACCCCAAGGATTTGCAATAGGAGATCGTCGATGGTGACGTCGAGATCCCTCTATTGTTTGAAGGAGCAATTAAATGGAAGGGCGAGGCTTTTGGGTTTGATTTATGGATTTAAAATGTGAAGGAGAAGGAGATGCAATTGATATTGCTGCTGTTGTGTTTGGGGAAGTGAGAGAGAGAGAGACGAGGAGGATGAGCGGCTTCTTTTTTCTTATTTTTATTTAATTTTCTTGGGAGTTGACAGGGTAATGTTAGGGTTAAGTTTGTTGACGGATGTTAGGGATTGAGACGTGTCATAAAGAGGCCACACTTATTTTAGGTGTAAAAAATGAAATCCGATTTTAACTATTAAGATAATTCATAACTTACCACTAAAATCTTTCACAATAATGTGTTTTTAGTATCAATTTAAATAAAATAGATTTTTTCTGTCGAAAATAAAATAATTTAAATTTGAAATTAAATTGACATAATTTTTGGCCCTATATTTCTTTTTTCAGAAGTTTTTTACTCCGTTTGTTTAATTAATGATGGTACAAAGGACATACTTCTGTCTAGTAGCCTAATGGCTTACAATTTAATATATTACCTTTACTTTATATCTACATATTAGAATATATACAGCTAACAATGTAAATAGTAATTTCTAAAAATAAACATGATTATTGTTCTGTACTCTGCAGGTTTTGATGCCCAACTTAACAACCTTGAATGTGCATCAATGTGATAGTTTAAGATTCTTGTTTTCGAGTTCCATGGGTAAATGTTTCGGGCAACTCAAAAATCTCAAGATATCCAATTGTCAAATCATGGAAGAGATGGTGAGAAATGAGGAGAATATAGATGACATGTTTGATAAGCTAAATCGTTTAGAGCTACAACATCTTCCAAACCTCACTAAATTCATCTCCGGAAGTTACATTAAATTTCCGTCTTTGGCGTATTTGGATATATACGATTGTCCTCAACTGGAGACATTCATCTTTGGTGCTAAGAGTGGAAATATTACAACCAACAAAGAAGAAAGAGATATTGAGCTCTTTGACGAAAAGGTGAATTATGCCTTCACTTCTTTTCTTTATGCTTTTATTTCCAACTTATGCATGCGTCTCACTCTTGTGAAAAAAGGTTTGTTCACAAGTTCTAAAATGAATATGTGACAGGTTGGATTTCCTAGCTTGGAGACGTTGTACATAAGGGACTTACCTAAGTTGAAGACAATATTCCACAACCAACTTCATCCAGATTCTTTTGGCAAGCTCAGAAATATGGATGTTCGTAGATGCCACAGTCTGATCAATATCTTTGGGCCAAGTATCATGGGAAGATTGAATGCTCTAAAGTCCTTAGTAATAATGCAGTGCCAGTCATTACAAGTGGTATATGACACCTCATCTACCACTCAGTTGAACTGTTTTGAATTCTCTAAAGTAACATATATGATGTTTGAAGATCTACCCCAACTACGGAGTTTCTATTCAAGGCTGCATGTTTCTAATTGGCCATCACTCAACAAATTAAATTTCACAAAATGTGATGGTGTGGAGATTTTTGCTGCCGAATTTTCAACATATCAAGACAAACTTGAGTTGGGCCACCCAAAACCAATGAAACATCCTTTCTTTTTAATTGAGAAGGTAACCATACTTGTACACAATTCTTTTGATATTAGAAATTTTATGTGATTGCATGCGTCCCACTCTTGTGAAAAAAGGTTTGTTCACAAGTTCTAAAATGAATATGTGACAGGTAGGATTTCCTAGCTTGGAGACGTTGTACATATGGGACATACCTGAGTTGAAGACAATATTTCACAACCAACTTCATTTAGATTCTTTTGGTAAGCTCAGAAATATGGATGTTCGTAGATGCCACAGTCTGATTAATATCTTTGGGCCAAGTATCATGGGAGGATTGAATGCTCTAGAGTCCTTATTAATAATGCAGTGCCAGTCATTACAAGTGGTATATGACACATCATCTACCACTCAGTTGAACTGTTTTGAATTCTCTAAAGTAACATATATGATGTTTGAAGATCTACCCCAACTACGGAGTTTCTATTCAAGGCTGCACGTTTCTAATTGGCCATCACTCAACAAATTAAATTTCACAAAATGCGGTGGTGTGGAGATTTTGGCTGCCGAATTTTCAACATATCAAGACAAACTTGAGTTGGGCCACCAAACACCAATGAAACAGCCTTTCTTTTTAATTGAGAAGGTAACCATACTTGTACACAATTCTTCTGATATTTGAAATTATATGTGATTTTACATGCTAGTTAAACATACACCATCAAGTAAATACATTTATTAAGTTTTCAATATTAAAATTATTATCTGGTGTCCAGTTTTTCAAAATATTTTTAAGCATCCCGTTACTGTTGATAATATTTCAGGGCAAGTCATTCCTCAACTTGGAATACTTGATGTTGGATGAGAACACGGAGATTTGGTATGAACCGTATGGTCCACTCCCGGCAGAGTTGTTGCGCAAACTCAAATCAATTAATTTTGCTACTTCAATCCCAAGTCAGATGTTTTCTTTGAGAATTTACAGAACATTGAAATGCTCTGTGTGCTCTCTGCTCCTTGGAAAGAATTATTTGTTCACGACCACCAAGGAAGTAGTGGAGGGGAAATACATGAAGTTGAGACCCTCCCACGCGGTCCTGTTTTTCCAAACTTGGAAGTTCCAAGCGTGCACAAATGTGGCAGATTAGAGAATCTAGCTTCAACTTTAATATCCTTTCGGAATCTAACCATTTTGAACATATGGAGTTGTAACGGACTGCAATACTTGATACCTTATTCTGTGGCTAAGAATTTGCAGCAACTCAAGAAGTTGGAAGTTAAGTACTGTCAAGGAATGGTAGAAATAGTGGCAGACAACGGAGAGGATTGTCGAGAAACTGAGATCACTTTCAGTTGCTTGCAACATCTTGAACTTTCTGATCTACCAAGTCTGCAAGGCTTTTGCATGGGAAATTGCATTTTCAAAGTCCCATCCTTAGAAACTTTGATTGTCAAGGACTGCCAGCTGATAGAGTTAAAGATTTCTCCTGATAGTTTACTCCAAAGTGATCCAACATCAGAAAGACTACAAATATCAGAGACATTGGGAAAGAAGAAGAATATGATGACGAAGACGATGCATGATTAAGATGGCAATGATGATGAAACGGTAAGTTTCCATATATGCTAAATATCATGTAAATATAAACTTTTATAAGTCGTAATTTCTGTTACTACTTGTTAATGTTCACTTACCGACACAAAATTTGCAATACTCCGTACATATATAGTGAGTAGCATCAAATAAATAGAACTGGTTTCTAATTTCTCTTGTTACTTGCTCTGACTATTCTCTGTTCTCCCCTAGTCTGCCCAGCCTTGCTTCCGTGGCCGATCTCATCTTGTTTGATCTAAGCCTGCAAGCTGCGGTCTTAATGGAAAAGCTATCCTAGAAACTTGTGTGATTTGTATTTGGAGCTTTGTTCACTACACTTTCGGTTTTGGGTGTTTGGGAAATAATGCTTGTGTGATTTCTGTAAACATTGATGCATTTGAAGTGGTGCTTTTGTGCACGTCTATTGAAACTGCTTTGTACTAGAGTGTGTTTATTTGAGCTCTTTACTAAAATTGAATCAATCGAATCCGCATTTTTAACTGGATTGTTAATTTTCTTGATGTGTGTATGTGTGTATATTTTTCTTTGTCGTTTGGAAGGAAAGCTAGATTCAATTCATAAAATGCAGGTTGAAATTGAATTGGTTTAAATGATTTGGGGCCTTTTATCCGTGAATTGGTTTTGGGATGAACCTCAACTTCCATAATTTTCTTCAAACTCTAATATTTCTTCCCATGTTGTTTTGCCTCTTTTTTCATTCTTGTATTTTGCTTCCTGTGAATCATGAAAAATATCATTTTCCAATCATCTTTTTAGGAGAATCTCCAATGGACTCCCTAAACCAGCTCCTAACTAGAATTTAGAGAGGACTAGAAAGTTCTACCCGCGCGTTGTTGTGGGATTAATAAAAATTGTAATAAAGCTTATGTTTCAAAGATTTAAAGTCTATGCAATAAAAGATTTATACTAATTACATATGAAAATCTATGCAACAGACACCAAAAATTGTAGAAGTTTTATTACTTTATCTAGAATGACAAAATACGATAAATGTTGTTTACTGCAACGCTCAAAGTTTTTCTCCAATAATGTTGATTGATAAGAAAGCACCCTAGGTAAGGAAAGAAAATATTGTAACACATGAAATAAATTTATATGACAATGGAATTATACCGTAAAGAAAATAAGAATAAGTATGGTTACCTTTTTTAGCAATTTTATAGCACCTCATCAACTTTTGTGCATTTGCCTCTGATTAGTTTTGTCTCACTATAACAAAGATTGAAAATGACAAATGTATATTAGATAAAAGCTCGATGAAAAGTAGGAGAACACACTGTTTGGTAGGGTGTAAACAGAAGGTTATATACCCGTCGATCAATTGGAGTGGCAAAAGTTGTATAGCTGAAGTTGCAATGTAAGCATTCTATATCATTGCGAATGTGCATCATTCATTTCTTAGTTTCTTTTAGTTCAAACCTAAACCAAAGAAAACAAACAGAATATTAATTACACTTTATCATATGTCTTTGCAATTTAACTTCTAACATGACTAAATATAATCTGAAGGCAATAAAGCTTGAGCCTAATTCTATCAGCCAAAATGGAGGAACACTAAATTTTACACACGAAGTCCCAAGGGGTTTAATAAAGAAATCCCAAAACAGAAACTATAATTTGAAAATTGTGCATAGATGGTCAATTGTGTTCAAATGTGTTGATGATGTACATCCACCAAATTGGAAATATCACGTTGTGAAAAATGAAGCTACTTCCTTTATAATAACAAAATGTTGGTCAAAATACCACAATGTGAACAAATATATCATAAAGAACAAATAGAAAAACGATACTTACCAATATCGACATATGGATTTCTTCGAAAGAATGTTACATGTAGTGTTATTATCTCAATGGTTTGGTTTGCGATAAGAAGAGTAACTATTTAGAAAGCAGTATCATTGCTACTTGCTAGTCTTCCTACATGATTTAAGAATATAATTAATTAAATAGATATGGGATCACATTGACCATAAATTATTACATGCAACTCAAAAAAAAAAAAAATTGAGAATAGTCGTCGGAAAAATAGAAAACCCTTGCCGGAAAAAGTAACTGTTACGCAATTAGATCTCTTTTAATAATTGCACATTTAAATCTTTTTCTTGATCAGTAAGATATCATAAATTTAATGTTCCACAGTTCATTACATTCTCATTTCTAGCCATTAGAACCTGAAACACATAACTAATGAGTGTAATAGAAACTTACCACAACATTGTCAAAAGAGAATATAAGACCATAAACTTCATCGAGTTTGACTACATATCGTATTCGTTTAAGAAAATCTTATTGCAACTTGTCTTCCAAAAAATCCTACTCATAGTAAAAACTAACAGTAGCAAGTCATAGCATAATCAGTAAAGTAATTTCGACAAAGCGTATAAAACAATCACTACCATACATATAACTCCATAAATTACACCACATCAACCTTGAGAGGTCCAACATGTCCAAAACTCTCAAAACCTTCTCGATATTCAACTCCAATCGCCTGAAAACAATGAAAAGTGGAGGAAAAAAAACATAAATTCATCAAAATTTCCTACCCAAGGATAAGTTAAAAATGGAAAGTATTTTCACTAACAAATATATGCATAGTATTAGTTACTATGTTGAACTGTTGGTAACATGGAAAATACTATTCCATTATCTTACCCACCAAAAAAAGAAAGCACTATAAAACTCTGTTTTTGTAACACATTTAGTTTGTTGGGTTCAAATTTTGGAAAAATAATCATTTATACATGAAAAAAATGTCGGAAAAATTATGTTGAAAAGAAGATGAGTTGTTCATATTATTTGATTTGATATAGTTTGGTAATACTCACTGGTCCACTTTGATGCTAAAGAGTGGTAGGCCATATGGCTTCAACAGCAAAACATATGCACTTCTGTGTAAATACAATACCTAAACAAAAAATGAACAAAAATTCTATGAAAATTAACATCTCTTATTCCATACAATATATACAGTATATATGAGTAAATTGCTTACGGGTCTGACTTCAATATAACCCCACTCCTCTTCATCCATCTTGAATCACAGCAGCTGCTACTGTTGTAGTTCCTGCAGCTGCTACTGCTATATTGAAATTGACTACCTTAGATAGTTTATTTCACATTCTTACACACATGACAAACCAAAAAACATTCAAAACATATCAATAATCTAAATAAAGGCCAATTTAATACCTTTTCTCAAACAGGTGGTAAGCACTGTTAACAGAAAAAACAGATGAACAACCACTGTGAAAAATACACCCAAAGAGTTAGTGAAATTAGATATAGAACATGCAATCATTCATAAAACATCATGAATAAATAAAGGAAAACTTAACAACTCACCCCCACCGAAATTAATCAAGCACTGTAAATCTGTAATTAACAAAACAAACAGTAAAAATTCATAAAATCAAACATGGAAAAAAAAAAAAAAAAAAAAAAAATCAAACATGCAACAATATAAATCTATTAAACAGTTGTTAAGATAACATTAATGAATTTGACCTACTATTTTACTATATTCGATTTTTGGAATTTTACTGGTCCACTTTGATGCTAAAGAGTGGTAGGCCATATGGCTTCAACAACAAAACATATGCACTTCTGTGTAAATACAATACCTAAACAAAAAATGAACAAAAATTCTATGAAAATTAACATCTCTTATTCCATACAATATATACAGTATATATGAGTAAATTGCTTACGGGTCTGACTTCAATATAACCCCACTCCTCTTCATCCATCTAGAATCACAGCAGCTGCTACTGTTGTAGTTCCTGCAGCTGCTACTGCTATATTGAAATTGACTACCTTAGATAGTTTATTTCACATTCTTACACACATGACAAACCAAAAAACATTCAAAACATATGAATAATCTAAATAAAGGCCAATTTAATACCTTTTCTCAAACAGGTGGTAAGCACTGTTAACAGAAAAAACAGATGAACAACCACTGTGAAAAATACACCCAAAGAGTTAGTGAAATTAGATATAGAACATGCAATCATTCATAAAACATCATGAATAAATAAAGGAAAACTTAACAACTCACCCTCACCGAAATCAATCAAACACTGTAAATCTGCAATTAACAAAACAAACAGTAAAAATTCATAAAATCAAGCATGCAAAAAAAAAAAAATCATAAAAACAAACATATAAATCTATTAAACAGCTGTTAAGATAACATTAATGAATTTGATCTACTATTTTACTATATTCGATTTTTGGAATTTTGAGTGAATGAATGGCAAAATAACAGAACCGTACCCCATTGGAGGAAGCCTGCCCGGCCAACCGGCCACAGACATCAGAAAAGGTACAGAGCCCCGTTGCACTGAAGAATCAGAGGACCAAATCACTATATGCTCACCCAAATGGGAGATAGAGGGGAAATTCCAATATTATTAATTTATCCTAATTTATCCTTTATAAAGGGAAAAATATGACGGAAAAAAAATGAATTTGATGAAGCTCACCATCAGATCTATCTTTTTCTTCTCGGTGGTTTTCAACCTCTAGGATTGTTGAATTCCTGGAAGAAGAAAAAAACCCATGAACAGAAACCAAAATATGTAATGTACAACATAGTCATCTTTACACATGTATTATGGAACAAACCAAAACCAAATTAAGGAATTTTAATTTAAAATCAAAGCTAAAACATAAGGTATAAATTACACTAAAGTATGGACATTGCATCCAAAAAAAAGAATGGATCATTTACTGTCAAGTTAATATTGTAATCTCTTATTACATTATTAAGGTCTTCTTCGTACGGCAAAGATAATAAACAAAGTTTAAGTCCACTAATCTTGAGGCCAAATAAGAAATAATATCACAATTATAAAAAACTAAAATAGCTGACAAATAATTTGATCAAAGTGAACAGAAGATGATCTTACAATGCCATACCCTACGATCAATGATAATTTGATACAATGCCACGTGGAAATTCCTTAGCCCATCTACTGAAGACTAAATGTGTGAAAAAATAGGGTGCAAAAGAAGAGTTAACGAAGCATAAGTTGAAAAAGAATATTTGGTCACAAATGACCTGACTGTTAAAAAGTAAATTATGAGAACTCACCATGGGTATTGATAGAAGCAGAAGACTGTTCATAAAGATTATCTATTACCAAAGAATTAGTGAAACACATGACTAAAATCAAATTCCTATCTACCCAAGTCTTTATACAACTAAAAAAGTTGGGAACATTTAATCATAACCTGGAAGAAGAATTCATTTGGTGCTTTGATTCAAACCTGGCTGAAATCTTCGAGTCTTTTTACGATTTCAAACGTCTCCAAACCACCTGGTGTTTCAAAAAAAACATCAAGCCTAATAAATACTACTCACACAACAAAAATTAATAAATATAAAAATCGATTTTGTTCGAATCAACACAAAAGACCAAAAACTTATAGGAGCTTCCTTCTAAGAATCTCAAACTCTAACCATTTCAAAAAAGTTCTTCGCATTTCCTCAAATACGTGCTAAACTCTCTCCTACTGCTCAAAATCCAAATGAGTACTTAAGATATACAGAACCACATTTAAGTTAAGACTATACTGCACTAAATGACATTCAAAACCACAAAACACCAAAACAAAGATGAATTCAACACCTTGAACGTGTAATATTCATATCTGAATCTAATTTGAAACATAATTTTCGCCCTTAAATTTTTTTCAACAAAAGAACAATCAATTTAGGAAAGCAACTACAATGCAACTGAAGAGCTGTTCGACTTAGCTCCATTTAGTATGGCCAAAAGCTTGAAAAACAGCTTAGAAGCACAATTCCAAATATTACCAAAAGCAAGCATCTTTGGGGTAAAGAGCCCACTTTCCCAAACAGAGCTTTAAGTTCATGCCACATGATTCGAATTAATTTATCACTAATATAAGTTCTAAAATGGTAAAAATGAGGAAATACACCTATTACCCTGTTCACTGTGATCTTTGAAATCCAAGTTCCACTACGTGACCCTCTGCATAGCTGCGTAACTTCCAGTGACGAAGATGGTTTCAAAATATATGAACTTCAGAACTTAACTCATTCTATAAAATAGAATAAAAAAAGATGATTTACACTTGTAAGGCATGCTCCAATGTTGATATAAAATTGAGTCAGTTGATTTATGACCACCAACTGTAAACGAAAAATGTAAATGCTAAGTTAGTTTACATGTTTAAATCTTTTGGTAAATGCTAAGTTATGTTATTATGTATGATGGCATGCCAAAGACCAAATAAAAAAAAAATACCAGTAAAGAGTTAAAACTCAAAGTTGAAATACCATCTTCAGTGTACCATTATATGCCAGCATTTAAAGTTGAATTGTTAAAATTTAAATCCTAGATCAACTCACCTTTCTTAATCTTTTCTGGAGGAATAAACAGAACGTTTCTTGTACTCTTCTTTAACCACTGCACTAAAAAAAAAACATTAATGTTTAAATATTAAAATTGAAGATCTTAAATTCATAAGTTATAAACTTAAAAGCTAGTTAAAATAAGCATCCATCACAACAATAGCACGGAAATTAAGTTGTTTTATCCTTGTCCTTAAAAAATGCACAAGGATGTCCTTAGATGGTTGCATGATCCGCAAGCTTTCTGAAGTACCTTGGGAATGCCCAGAATTAAAATTGTTGGTCTTTGTGAATGATGATATTGGCAACTCCCGGGAAATCCCAAGCAAATTTTTTGAAGGGATGAAAGAACTCGAAGTGTTGGATGTAACTGCATTCAGTATTGAGTCATTACCTCCATCTCTTCAATCCCTAAAGCATCTCCACACCTTGTGTTTAGATCGGAGCAAGTTGGTAGACATAACTCTTGTTGGACAACTAACAAACTTGTAAATTCTTAGCCTGCTAAAGTCCAAGATTAAAGAGTTGCCCAAAGAAATAGGGCAATTGACTAGCCTGCAATTATTGGATTTGACCGGTTGCTCTGAACTTCTTCTGATCTCACCTGGTGTTATATCAAGCTTGACAAGACTAGAAGACTTTGTTGAGAATCAATGTCAATTGTAGGTGAAGTAGGTGGATGTTGTAGGTGAAGTAAGTGTGTGAGGTTGGTGAAGTAAGTGTGTGAGGTTGGTGAAGTAAGTGGAGGTTGTAGGTGAAGTAGGTGGATGTTGTAGGTGAAGTAAGTGTGTGGTGTAGCTTTCATTTGGTTTGCTATAAATACCCAAGTCCTCAAGCATTGTATATCATCCAAGGAAAAACAAAGCCTAGAGCTAAATAAGAAAAGCTTTGCTAATTAGTTTGTTTTGTGAGCTTTCTTTAATAGTGTGCTCTATTTTCTTCTTCTTGGGATCATTAGAGTTATCTTGGATATTCTTCTTATTCAACAATTGGTATCACAGCCAAGTCGGTCAGGGATCGTTCTTGGTAGAGCATTGGTTGTAAAGTCTCTTGAATTTCCGAGTATGCTCTGTGGTTGCAGTTTTGACTGATCTTCCACATCAGAAAAGATTTCTTGAGATTATTGCTGGGGTTATCACAAACCTTGAGAGGGAGCTTCTTTGTGTCGAGAGTAGTGTATTACTCTGCACGGTAGTCACTCAAGCTTGTTCGGTGTAGTCAAAGTCTTGCCGATACGATGGGTGATCTTCAAGTTGTTGGAGGAATCAAGAAGCTCAACAACCAAAACTATAACACGTGGGCAACGTGTATAGAGTCTTACCTTCAAGGTCAAGACTTGTGGGAGGTTGTCGGTGGTAGTGAAGTTACACAACCGGCAGCGGAAGATGTTAACGGCGTCTTGCGGAAGTGGAAAATTAAAGCAGGCAAATCAATGTTTGCCTTAAAGACCACAATAGAAGAAGAAATGTTGGAGCATATTCGGGATGCTAAAACGCCAAAGGAAGCATGGGACACTTTTGTTACACTCTTTTCGAAGAGGAACGATACAAAATTGCAACTTCTCGAGAATGAGCTGCTATCGATGGTACAACGCGACATGACGATTGCCCAGTACTTTCACAAGGTGAAGTCGATATGCCGCGAAATTTCAGAATTAGATCCAACAACTCCTATTGGGGAAACCAGGATGAAGAGAATAATTATCCATGGTTTGAGACCCGAATATCGAGGGTTCATTGCCGCTATACAAGGATGGCTGACACAACCATCGCTTGTTGAGTTTGAAAATTTGCTGGCAAGTCAAGAAGCTATGGCCAAGCAAATGGGAGGAGTCTCACTGAAGAGTGAAGAGGAAGCGCTCTACACCAACAAAAGCAAAGGCACCTTCAAGCGGTACACTGGTAGTGGATCTAAAAAAGATGGAGAAAAGGTGCAAAGTCACCAAGGAAATGGAGGCTCTTGTTCTGGGGGAGCTTGGAAGAATCGCGGTAATAGTAAAAAGTTTAGTGGCAAGTGTTACAACTGCGGGAAGATGGGCCACATGGCGAAAGATTGTTGGACCAAGAAAGAGCCTGTTGAAAGTAATACTGCTACTTCCAGTTCGAAGGAGAAGAATTAGCCCTCACGGTAACAACACCAGAACGGATTGACTACAAAAATGATTGGATCGTAGATTCGGGCTGCTCAAATCATATGACGGGTGATAAACAAAAGCTGCAAAATCTATCTGAATACAAGGGATGGAAATGTTGTGATCCAACAAGTGGAAGGTGCTACACTTCACGAGATGTGGTGTTTGATGAAGCATCTTCTTGGTGGTCCTCAGAGAAGGAGGTGCTACCAGACTCCAGAGAATTTGGAGAAAAGCTGCAACAGAAGATGGGGGAGCATACTATCCAACTCCAACCAAGTTCAGATGAATCAGGAGATCCAAATGGCGATGATGTCGAACAAAGAGTGGCTCAGAATCCTTGGCAAACTGGTGTGTATCAACAACCAAACGAAGAAGGTGGGCCGAGTGAAACGGAAGAATCAACTCCACAATCTCAACTCCGAAGGTCAACAAGAACACGAAGGCCAAATCCCAAATACGCCAATGCAGCCATAATTGAAGAAACAACTGTAACAGAACCTGAGACGTTCGAAGAAGCATCGCAGAGTTCTGAGTGGATGACAGCTATGAAAGAAGAGCTTGATGCACTTCAGCAAAATCAGACTTGGGATCTCGTGCCAAAGTCAAGAGATGTGAAACCCATATCCTGCAAGTGGGTTTACAAGATAAAGCGTCGTCCAGATGGATCAATCGAGAGGTACAAGGCACGATTGGTAGCTCGTGGTTTCTCTCAACAGTACGGACTAGACTATGATGAAACGTTTAGTCCAGTGGTGAAGCTTACAATAGTACGAGTCTTACTTGCACTTGCAGCCAACAAAGACTGGAATCTATGGCAGATGGATGTGAAGAATGCTTTTCTTC